CTCGTCTTTGCTGCGTCTGGAAGAAGCAGTGAGGTAGCAGTACTAGTAGTGGTGGTAGTAGTAGTAGTAGTAGTAGTAGTAGTAGTAGTAATAGTAGTAGTAAAGTAGAACTAGGAGTAGCAGTAGTAGTAGTAGCAGTAGCAGTAATCGCAGTAGTAGTAGTAGTAGTAGTAGTAGTAGTAGTAGTAGTAGTATGGGCAGAAGCATAGGCTTGCCCGCGCCGCTCTGGCTGCACCCACAGCTGACTCTGTTCGGCATGGTGGGCGGGGAACCTGGGACGTGTCCTCCCAATCCTGTCGCAATCAAACTTTTGCGCGAACTGCCGAGTTGGGGATTTTCGTTTGTGTCCTGCGGTAGCCTTCTCCCTTAGAACGGCAGGGTTTCGAGGGAGATGTGCTTATGGCTGGATTTTGCTTTGTTGTCGTGCAAGTTCAGTGCTGGAGATGCCTTTGTTTTGGCTCCTGGCTGTATTGTATTGAGAACTTCAGATCAACGGCCGTAAGGCCTTCCGCCTGGACTTACGAGCAGCAAGTGATTCAAAAGCCTGTTGCCGAAAAGTCGCTCCGTAAACAAGGAAGAAAAAGACTGGTTTTACTGCCATACCCATGTACGTATTTGGAAGCTTGACCAGGGCTGCATGCAGGGAGTGCGGCCGCGAGCGTATGGGATCCTTAGCCACGCATGGACAGCATCAGTTGGGCACCATGTTGGGTGCCGATTTAGAACTCACAAACGGTCAAGACCCTTATCCCCAGGGCCAGTGAAACAAAACGTTGGGGCCACGGGGCATCAATGATGCGCCGAGCTTGGCAACATGTCGCTAACCCCGCGACTGGGACGGTGTTATCAACTCCGAAGATGGCCGCAAATTCTTCGAGCCGCGATGACTGCTGAAGGGAAATGCTGAGACCAGTTTCCTCTGTCTCCGTGGCTGCCTGGCCGCGAGCTGGGGACTGGGAAGCAAAAGAAAGCGCGAAGCCGCGAAACCGAGCCAACGAACGAGCTGCACGCAAGGGGCTTCCCTCCCCCTTGCGTGCACCTCGGGTTTTACCCCGGACCAGGTTTATTGGTTCGGCTTCGCGCGTTTGTTTGCTTCCCAGTCCCCCCAGCAAGCGGCCAGGCCAGGCAGCCAAGGAGGCAGACGAAACTGGTCTCAGCGTTTCCATCCAGCAGTCATCTCAGCCCGAACAACTACGTGACATTTTTGGAAAAGAGCTAAAATTCGTCACAGAGGGATGGGGCTGTCATTAGTTGAGATACTGCACTGCTGTTCAAAATGTCAAACATCTTCTTCCCACGCGGCAGAGGAGAACGGTCTCTGTCCAGCGAGCGCCTGGTTCAGCCTCATTTCGAGGTCGGCCATTCAGTGATGGCAGGCACTAGTGCCGCTTTCCGGCATCAGCTAAGTAACAAAGTGCGCCGAGGCGCCGTATTTAAAAAGTTTTCAGCCTTGAGTGCAATTCCGACTTGGTTGCGCTACTTGACATCCTAGTCATCCATTGTCTCAAGCGCAATCATGAGCTGCTTGTTCCTCCACTTGGGCGGGCACTTGTTGCTGCTGTCTCGACTTGGTTGGTACGCTTGCAGCTCGAGTCGTCGCAGTCGTGAATCCAGACGGTTGAGGGCCTGCTGAAGGGCTTCCATGCCCTCGGCCAAGCCTTGTATCTGCATCTGGAGCAATGTGACACGGCTGCTGAACCAGTTGATGTCCTCTTCCCTCAGGGTGCGGGGTTGGGGACTCGGGTCCATGCTGACTCCTATTGTCATGTCTGATGTCTTGCGCAGTGCGGACAGCTGGAGCCATGTTGCATTGATCAGCTCGGGCAAGCACAAGCATGTACATGTTGGTGCTAACATGTTCAAGCTGTCGTTGATCAAGCTGTGCTGGCTCTTTTTCATCATCCAGGAGCCAATGGTGCTCCGAATGTTGCAGCACTGTGGTGTAGTGGCCGGACGTCGGCTCCTCACCATGGTGTTGGAGTCAACATCGAGAGCATGAGGATTATTGAAGACAGGCATGCTTAGGGTGTGGGGGAGGATGTAGGCGTGCCTGAGCTTCTTGGCCCGGCCATGCGCTTGATAATGAAACCTGGGAAGTTGCAGGAAGAGCCATCTCGAGGGTATGGTGAGTCCGTAAAGTTGCTGTTGTTGATGCCACAGCTCTATGGATGTTTGCAAGTCGGGAGAGGGCTTACTGGGATCTAAGGGAAGGCGGATACACTTATGCAGAGGTGCCTGTCTGCTTTTCCAGACCATCTGCAGATAGGCCCCTGGATTCACAGTGACCTGGGAGGTGGCGACCGACAAGGCGCTGTTGCACGAAGTCTATGAACTCCGCTACGTCATGCTGGCTTTGGGGCGCGGACCATCCCAGAAGTTTAAACCCAATCAGACGACTCGCCTTGCGCGGAGTCTCTGAAGAGTGCCCGAAAACCTGACGGATCAGATCATGCAGTCTGCAGTGGCGCAATGCTGCAAGCAGGCCATACATAAAGGAATTAAGGTAGCAGCTGTTGTCGCCACCTTGCGTCCGTACATGTGGGAGCATGCTGTAGCTGACTCCATCGTCGCCGTATGGGCTAGTGCCTGCTGGGTCCGCAGGCTCAGATCGGATGGAGTTGGGCGGCACGGTAGTGTCTTTAGGGATCTTAGGGCATGGGGGGGGTTTGTGTGCCTCGTTGGTGGGCCCTGTCGCCGGTAAACCATGTCCCCGAGCTTCTTCGCCAGTGGTGCGCAGGGGAGGGTGTCCTTCTTCATCGAAACCCCTATTAGGTTCATCAGAGTGCACCCTGTGAGTTTCTCCAACGTCTCGTAGAGCTCCTGGGCCGTCTGGCCCCGTAGGGAGACTTCCAACTGGAAAGTCGCAAACTGAGCCCCCTGCTGCTCCAGGATGCTGAGCTGCTTCGTTGCAGCGAAGCGTTGGATTGCTTCTCCCTTGAGGTTTTTGAGTAAGAAGGTTAGCAGCCGTATGGCCTCGTCGTGCTGGAGGGCCGTGCGGTTGGGATCCACTTTGAGCGCCTTCGCTCCATGGTCCCAGATGCGGTAGTTCCAGGCTCCCGCTTGTGTCATCCACTCGGTCTGGATGTACTTGGACTTTGCCTCCTCCGTGGCCACGGCCTGCTGGGCCAAGTTCATCACCTCGCGTAGCATGCTGGCGAACAAGACCGTCCTGAGGGGGGACCGAAGCGGGTCCTCGTCGAGGGCCTTTTTGTTCTTCCAGTCCTTGGAGATTCTCATGAGTGTCCCCAAAGTCCCGTTGGCCTCGTTGCGCATGAACAGCATGAAGATCTTGTCGTGGCGAAGACGGCTGATGATCTCCTCCTGTTTCAACACTACGCGGCTGAGAAGACTGAGTTGATCCTGTGGGCCATGGTGTGTCGGGGGACGGTGACCGGGAAATGGAGGTTGCATCGGATAGCGGCGGTAGCCTTGCATTCGTCGTGGGGGAAGGTTCCACCTGTCCGGTTGCTCCGGGCGGCGGCGCTTCTGAGACCTGTTGTGGTCCGTTTCGGACAGATAGAACTCCTCTGGGTTGTCCCAGTAGCCTGCGAAGATCTCCGCCTCGTCGTTCAGTACTGGGTCCGCCCGAGCCGCAAACATCCTGGCAATAAAGCTGGGCGAGGATGACTTGAATCAATGGTGTGCACTGCTGTGTGTGCCTGTGGGGGGCACCGACTTTGTGGCCGCACCAAATGCAAGCACTGTTCCTACGGAGGTGGGACTTAAAGGAACCACAAAGCTGAAGGGCTTTAGGGAGCAGGTCCGGGTGCGCTTCAGCATGTGTGCGATTGTAGTGCTGCTTCACGTGTCTGAATGATGCAATCCACATGTGGCAAAGAGCGCAGTGGCTTGAGAGTTCCTGTCGGACAGCCGGCATTGCAAGCCATTTCTCTGCGTTGTGACATTGTGCAATGAAGGCCGGTCGCTGCACGAGCGGGGTATGCTGGCTGTTTTCTCCCTCAAAAATTGGGAGCTTGGCAGTCGGCGGCGTCAGAATCTTCGCCGGTAGTGCATCTGGCACAGGCGAACGAATATGACTTGCACCCCCCAAAGCTGGGCACGCACTGCTTTCTATGTGTTGTCTCAAGTGGGTCCACCTGAAGAATTGTCGCTCGCAGAGGCGGCAGGCCGGCATCCCCGCCTGGGAGTGCACGGCAGGGTCAAAGGTGGTGGGGATTTTTGTTTGTATCTCAGGTAGGTGCTTATGCTGCAGGCTGCAGTGGATGCGCATGGCATTCTCTGTGGTGAAGGCCTTATCGCATTGCGGGCAGTTCACTAGCGGCTGCGTTGGGGGTTCAGTGGCTAAGGTCCTGGCCGCATTCATGAGGACCGCCTCCAGCCGGGCAGCCTGTTGTGCAACGAACTCTAGCGCCTGCGGCGTAGTGGTGATGTCTGGATCAGAGTCATGCTTGGCTTGGAGCCTTTGCTGATGCACTTGCAGAGAGTGCTGAAGCTGCCAGCCGGGCATGGGAAGGCCGGCCTGAGACCATACTGCACCATTGGTAATGTGTGTGAGATGTGCCGGGACACGTAGAATGGCTCTTAGGTGTCTGGTCAGCAGCGTGGTGAGCCTTTGCAAGGAGCTTGTTGTCACGCCCACAATATGTTGGGAGTAGAGTACGCTCGTGCACACACAGACTCGCCAAAGCCTAATCCGGTGCTTTGTGCTGAGATGGTGGGATCCATTCAGCAGCCTGCGTAGCCCCTGATATCGCTGTTGGCAGGCTTGGATTCTGTGAGTCATATTGCGGTCAAGGCGGTTGGTGTAGGTGACTCCTGTTCCAAGGTACTCATGCTGATCTTTAATGGGTATAGTGCAGTCGCGGCCGTTGATGGTCAACTTCAAATGGAGCTGGCCTGCTTTCATGATGGTGTGGTCGCGCCTGAGCTGCCTAGCCTCCTTCCCTGTGAGTTTGAGTAGGATGGCTGTTTTGCCATAGTTGATCGTCATGCATAAGTTCTCAAGAGTGGCTATGATCAAGCTCACATCAGCGAGTGCTGCCTCGAAGTCTCTTTTGGATGTTATGAGCCATGCGCCCCAAACATCATCGGCGAAAAGGGAAAGCACTCTTTGGATCCATTCAAGGTCACGTTGGTTACGAAGGAGGGTGAGGAAGGCAATTGTGAAAAAGTTCCATAAATATGGAGCAATGACACAGCCCTGTTTTATTCCATTCGTAGTGGTTGTGGATCCAGTAAGGTCGCCTACTTGGAATTTGTACTGGGCTGCCTTATGAAGCTGCTGCACTATCGTGATGACATCTGGTGGGACTTGCTGTGCATGCATTTCCCTGTATATGTGGGAACGGGTTACTCCATCGAAGGCTTTCGATAAATCAAGAGAGATGCATAGGCCCCCCGCACAACGTCTGTGGCGGTGGCCCGCTTGCTGTTGGAAGCGGTCTGCCTTCGTTTGCTGAAGCAGTTCATCAACACTATGGAAGTGGCTGTGTGCCTTGGCGATGGCATCTGCAGTGCCCCGTTGTTGGGCGTAGGCGAACTGTGGCAGCACCTTCAGCATTGGTTGGAGGTGGCTGAGGAGTTGGGTCCTAAGGCTTCCCGCCAAGGCTTTACTGGCCGGACTGGTAAGTCCGATAGGCCGTAAGGATGCTACGTTTACGGGCGGTTTCCCAGGCTTCGGGATCCACACGACATAGCAGTTCTTCCAGTCATCATCAAGATTGGCCGGTGTGCCCTTGCGGAGGTGGCCTCGGAGAGCGAGGCCAAGGGTGTTTCCCAGGGCTGCGGCGCACAGCTTCCAGGTGGCTGACGGCGCCACATGTTTGGGCACAGCTTTGGCAATACCTAATTTCTGCAGTTCGCTCGTGAGGGCTGCATCAGTAATCTGAAAGTCGGTTTCAAGGACTGACATCGGCATATCATCCGAGTGTACTGCAAAGGTCTGGTTGCTGTGCTGCACGATGGATTGCAGCTCGGCTTCTTTGGAGAGCAAGGCACCTTCGGTGCTCCGAAGTCTGCTGGCAACGTGCCTATCCTTGGGGGATAATCTGCGGACAATGAGATGCAGGCCACGCTGATCGCCCTTGGAGGCTGCTGCCTCTGTCACTTCTACCTGGGCTTCATAGAATTGTTTTTTGTAGGCTTGGCTTTGCTTTCGCAAGAGGCGAGAGGCCTTGGCAAAGTCCGCGGCCAGGCGCCACTTCGTGAAGATGTTGCGGAATGTACAGACACCTGGGTGTTTGAGGCGATGGTAGTGCTGCCAGACGTGCTTTGCAAGTATGCGATAGCCTGGCTGGGCGCTGATCAGGGCTTTGGGCTGGTGGGAAGAGACGTCGCGTCTCCTCCAGCAGTATGCGATTGACATGCTGGTGGGCACTTTGCAGATTGCTTGTGTCCACCTCGGCGAGGCGGGTCGTGACGCTGCGCTGCAGCTCTTGAGCAGCTGGGCTGTTGTCCCGCACAGCCTGTTGCAGAGCGGTGGAGTTATGGGCAGTGGAGGAGGCGGTCTGATGGGACTGTGGGAAAAAGGGTCTTATTGGTAGCTGAGCGTGTAAGGGACGATGTCCCGTAAGACGAGAGGCTCCTACCGGAAAGGAGGTGAGGGGCCTTGTACGCTTGGCCAGCTGGCGCGCTGCCTGCTGTCGCATCAGCACAAAATCAATTTGCGAGGAACCACTTGGAGCATAGTAGGTGGCCTTGTCTGCGCAATGCCACGTGTTGGTGGCCGTGAGGGCTTGCCTTTGCATAAGAGCTGCGAGCTCTAAGTCATGATTGTCAGTGCACCTAGTTGAGGCGGGGCCAACTATGGGATATTCCGGGCCAAGGGTGGAGTTGAAGTCCCCACATACAATCAGACTATGACGAACAGGCACTCTTTGGATGATGGTCTCGAGGTTGTTCCAAATGGTGCCGCGGAGCTCCTTGTTCTGGGCTGTGGTAAGCTGAGTTCTCCACACATGTTGGTACACTCCTATTATCGTTATGGGAAGACCCGTGCTGCGGATAGTAGCTTGGATGAGTGCAAGTCGACCTGGGCAGACTTCCTGGACCCTCACGTCCTGGAAGGTGTGGCGGTTGAGGAGAAACAGCAGTCCGGCAGATTTGCCGTGGCCGTCGGGCGAGTTCCTGCCAGAAGAGTGGATCGCAATCCACCGTCCTGAAGTAAAATCGCTGGTCTCAGCCCAGTGTGATTCTTGCAGTATGAGTGCATCATATCTGGCATTCAGCTCACACCACGTGATTAACTCCTGAAATAGGGGTCCGCTAAGTCCACTGGTGTTCCATGACATGATGTTCATGTGCCTTGTGGAGGTGTGCCTCGTGGAGGTCGTAGGGCGTCCGTTCTTGGCTCGCTGGCGCCTTGGTGCAGTCGGGGCGGCAGGTGGAGGAAGTCGGCCTAAGGTTGCTACCGTATGCCATCTGTTCTTGTACCACGTGCCCTGTTCGGCTGAAGCATGGGCTCGGTTGCGAGCTCGGCGGTAGGCCCGCTTGGCTGTCTTAAGGATGTTACACATTGGTGTTGGCATGGCTTGGGGTGCTGACGCCGTGGGACGCGCTGTTCCACGTTGCTTCCCCGCCGCCGTCGGCACGACGACGAGTTCACCTCCCGTCGTGGCTGTGGGAGGAACCCTCACCCCTCCAGTCTCTATACACATAGTGATCACAAGGAGCTTGCAGAGACCGGTCCCGGACTTGGGACCGGGAGAGCCAACGCTGTGAGGCTTCTGAACTTCTGTGGTCGGTGCATTCAGGGATCTTAAGGGAGTCTTATGCATTCGGGGTGTCTTGCTAAGGCTTGAGGTCTCGCAGTTGGCACGGCTTGGTGATATGCGGCCTGCTTCAGCAATCTGCCCGGCAGCAGTGGAGCTCAAGGATCGCCTGTGGTTGGGTCTGCTTTGGTTTAGGGGCCTATTCCGGGGACTATGATCACCCTTAGGGTGCGGAGAAGGAGTGGCAGCTGGCCTCTGTGGGAGGTCGGCGCTGCAGCTGCATGGCTGGCGCATGGCTCGGAGCTTAGTCGTCTCGTCGTGGGGTGCGGGAGCGTCGTCGTGCCGGCCTTGACGGTGCTGGGTTCCGCCTTCGGGGTCGTCGTTCGTGTGTGGCCTCGAACTCGTAGGTCTGCCACTCGCGAAGTCGTTCTCCGGTAAGGCGTTGTCGGGCTTCCTCTTGGAGATTTTGCCAGTTACCTGCATTTGTTCGTCGGCGAAGTCCTGCCAAGCAGCCAGCTTGGCTCCTTGAAGGGACCTTTCTGGTTTGTAGCTCTTGCCTGTACAGCGTGTGGAGCCGCTCCACAGCTGACACCAGTGTGTCGCCTTCGAGAATGAGACTGGTCTCACTCCAAGAGTGGGAAGCTTCAGCGTCCGATCGTCCTTCTGCATCTTCTGTGTCTCCCTCTTGGCTGTCGGTGCTTCCAGATGTGCTGGACGTGGCTGTGTTGGCAGCCGGGGCAGAGGGCATTGACGGTCCGGCGGCAGATGGCTTTGCTGCGGGTTCTCCAGGCTCCACTTGGTCCTCGGACACGTGTGGTGTGTCGCGGTCGATCTCGTAGACTCTTGCACCTGGGGGCGGAGGAGGTCCAGCTCGTCGCTCGGCTTCGGCTTTGGTGGGGGGACCCTGCGACAGATGATCCCAAGGAGTACGCTCCACGTCAGAGCCGCTGTCAAGCGCATCGGCAAGTTCCGAGGAGCCATCGGACATAAGATTTCGCCGAAGAAACCCCAGCCCAACAGAAGAAACACACAGCAGCCCAACCAAAAGAAGTTCGCGGGCACTCAGCTTGGGCCCAGGGGCTTAATGTCAAACATCATCAACATCATCAACATCATCAACATCACCAACATCAACATGAACATCAACGTCATCAACAAGAACATCATCAACTTCAACGTGAACTTTAAAATCATCAACATGATAAGGTTTAGGGTTGAGGGCTTTGACGTCAGCGGCTTTGGCTCATGGCCTTGCATGATGTCATTTTCGGGATGAGATTTGGGCCTTAGGTTAGGAATAGATGGGTTTTGGGCTTGCATGGGCTTTGTGTTTTTGGGATGAGGTTTCGGGATATCGTTTAGGGTTGTGGCTTAGCTGGCCTGCTTTCGTCACAATTATTGCCCTGTGCTCCTGTATTCAAAACCTTGCTCCTCGGCTCAAGGCTGGTGTTCAAGGCCTGGCCCCTCGGCTCAACGCTGCGCGGATGGAAATCCACTCTGCTTTGGTCTCTGGGCTCAGCGGCTACGAGATCCGAGTGGGGAAACTCACGCTTGAAAAAGCACGTGCATATGCCGATGTAGTCTCGGTCCCACAAGCCAGAACATATCAATGTGAGATCTCCAGCATGCGAGCCGTAAGGAACTACCCAAGGCACCATCGCTTTTTGATTGTGCAAGGGGCAGTGGCCCCAGCGAAACTTACGCGCATTGTTTTGCTGATCAAGGAACATGTCATGCCCTCCGAATGTCACGAAACGGTGAGGTATCAAAAAAACTAAATAGGCATCAAAAAACGAAACAGGAGAATCAACAAAAAAACAAAATAAGTATCCAAAAAAAACTCAATCAGCAAAATAAGCATCACAAAAAAAATTAAGCACTAAAATAAGCCGAAAAAAACTTAGTCATAGGATATGCCGGGCGCAGGCACCCTCCCCTTTGGTGGGGGGAAGGGAGGGTTGTGGGGGGGCGGACCCCCTTCCCCTTTGCAGACTCATAATAGAAGTTCGAGTAATCTAGTAGTAGTGGTAGTAGTACTCCTAGTCGTAGCAATACTAGTACTGGTAATAGTAATGGTAATAGTCACAGTAATAGTAGCAATAATAACAATAGCAAGAGTAATAGTAAAAGTAATATGACAATAATAATAACAATAATTATAATTATAATAAGCGTTTGTCTTTTGAAATCGTGCGTCCGAATCTAGCAACCATACCCAGCCAACTTCAGAATGCCGCTGGTCGGATCGGTAGTGTTGTAGTAGTTGGAAGCATCTCAGGGTCAAAATACTTGTCTCACTTAGTTGTATCATCTGTAACACAAAGTAGTATAAAACAAACAGAAAATGCGGAAAAGAAAGAGACTCATGTGGCCAACCTCGTAAAACCATCGGTGTCGTACAGAAAAATGCACGATCTCGTTGGGCTTTGACTTCTTGCCCATGTGCTCATCAACACCAGACCGATAGCCATAAAACACATGAGCCTTGCTGGCACCCATATATTGAAGTTCTTCAACAAGGGGATTATGCACGTCATGGTTGTTCTCATGCGACAAGATCAGGAATAGCGCATTGCCAAGACGAGCCGGCGTATCAGGTAATACGAGACTAGCCGGGCCAACATACTTCGACACGCATCGCGCCAGCGTCTTCCGTTTGGATTCGTCAGTATTGCACCACCAGGACAGACCACATGAGCATTTGCGCCGTGCCATATTAGCCATCTCGCCGATAGCTGACCTATATAAGTGCAATATTGTTTTGATGTATTATCTAGCATCAATACATATATAACTTGACATATGAATAAATCTCACACCACAGACCTCACTTATGCAGTTAGGGTGTACATAAATAGTATTGTTTACCCTTGCATGTCTCTACATGTAACGCCAGCGCACGCACCAAATCATTATACCCCAAATAGGAGCTAACACAACATATCTTGAATTCGAGACGTAGTCCTGCAGAACGAACACCTCTGAAGTTATCGCGCTTTCTCCCAAAACCAAGAGACAGAAGGAATTAAATCCCATGAGGGCGTTGCTATTTGCAGTGCTGCAGATAGGACTCGTGTCCTTTCGAAGAAAGTCTCAAGATACAGCTTTCATGGTTGAAGGTTCGAGGCTGTTTAATGCTTGAGGTGAAGGACCTTAGGTTTTGTGGTTCAGGACTGACGGTTTACAAAACGTGAAAGGTCGATTTGCTTACTGCTCTATGTAGTAATTGAGATGGGCCATGGAAACGCCTTTAAACCCTTGCAAGCCCCTCAAATCAATTAAAACACGTTGAAACCTCAGCAGCAGTGATCCCGTTGCATATGATGGAATTTGGGTTCAAAACAAACACTAATGGCAAATCGTACAACCCGCGATGGTCCGGATATTTGAGTATATGGTGTAGGCAGCATGGACTTGTACGATTTGTTCAGGTACTGTTATTTTTGAAAGGATTCTAGCTCAGAACTATTACTACTACTGCTACTGCTACTACTACGACGACGACGACTACTACTATGGTAGAACTGGTACTACTACTTAAAGGCTTAGGTATGACTAATACAATCGCCGGTCTCTGGACACAGCGTCGGTATTGGTCGCACATCAGCGGTTTTATAGATGTATCCAGTTGGGATGAGACATACTTTAGACAGGA